TGACACGTTCTTAAGAAGAAAAAGGAACATTGTCCCCTGCGGGACTGAGAGTGCCATAAAGGTACTTCTATATTTGTCTCCATTCTCGCTGTTATTAGTTTCAGATTTTGATCAGTGTTTCCTGAATTAAAAGCATGAATTAAACTACTCTAGATTGCAATGATTTGGTTCCCTCGGTGGAATTTTGCTTTGCTCTCTCCAAACTGGTAGGAGAAAATTTGAAAAACCCATCACTGTTGCTAATTCACTTCTACTTGTGGTAGTTGCAGTGTCCCTGGGTGGTGTAATCAACGTCCACAGAAATGTTGGACTCAATTGTAGTTTTAAGTCGGGGACTACCTGTAATCAATTTTCAGAAGGAAATTCAAATCCATTCTGTTGGCTACCACCCAAAATAGTGAACCTAATTAAATCGCATGTAACTGTAAGAACAGTTTTGAAAAGAGAAAGAAAATAGTTTAAAGCATGTCAATGAGAGGTGGATATTCAGCAGGTTCTGACCAGTTCTGGAGAACTGTAGCTGAAATTTTGAGTAGTTCAGAGAACCGTCAAATATTACCTCTGACTGACCCCGTCCCATCTATTCTCTGCCTCCCGAGTCCCAGCTGATTGGCTGGGTCTTCTTTGGTTGCCCTACACAGGAGAACGGAGCTGGAAAGCAGGTTAGTGGGGTGAGGAGGGAATGGGGATTTGTAGTAAACTTCTCCTGCCACGCCCACCAAGCCATACCACGCCCACCAAGCCACACCCACAGAACCAATCGTAAAACAATTTGAATCCCACCACTGATTTCAATCACACTTTTAAAATAGGTTTGCGCAATGTTCTTCTGCAGAGATGATTTTTTAAAATAACTTATATATTAGTGGTAGGGAAAAGTGGAATGACATATTGGTTTTTGTGTCAAGTCTGGTAAAATACCAGATCTTCTAATAGTTGACCATAGTCCAAAACCACTTGATTACAAGTAATCAGACCTGCCTATAATATATATAACTTGTAATTGCTTAAATGTGGTTTTTTTTTTACACTAAATTGGATGGAACACAACCATTCTTAGTGTTTGATACATGATTTATTTTCTGTTCACAAGGAAGATTGTCACAAGTTTCCGGCATTTTTCCATTGGCTAGTGTGATGTGTTGGAGGCAAGGGATCTGATTTTGAGGGTCAAGATTAATTTTGCCACTGAATCACCCAATTTACTCAACTTCCCAGTTTCCCCATTTGGAAAATGAAAGAGTCTTGAGGCCAGTCTTAAAATCAGATTGGAGATCTATACATTCATAATGTACTTCTAAATGAAACAGGTTAATGGAAGTAGCGTGACTAGTTTTTATCTCAAGTAACTATATAAATCATACTTGTAAACGTGGGTGACTTGTGTTCAGTAAGCATTTTTTGGCTGACGAGTTTGTTTTCTCCAAATCTGAAATTGTTAGCCTGTGTTTGAAAAGAGAGCTTTATAGTTTTAAGGGCTGCGTTTCATGTTGCCTTTTTGAAACATTAAAATACCATGAGAATTATTGAAGAAGTTCAAACGCCTCTTCAATGTCTCTCTCTCCCTGCATTTTCTTTCAGAATGAAATGCTAACAGTTCTCACTTTGTCCGTCTGAATGAGAACTATAGCAAAACCCTGTTTCCAGACTTTTTATATCAACTTATTCCCCTGACATTTAAGCTTTCTGCTTAGGAATAACCTAATGTTGATAGTCACGTTACAACATAAAGGACAACATATTGTACGTGATTTTGGTATTATATGGTTATACTTCAGATTTCATGTTGAATGCAAGGATGGCCTGTATGGGATCAGAAAACCACGTGGCTTTATTCCTGATTGTGTGGAACAACGTGGCAGCATTTATTCCAAAAAAGAGTGATGTCTTCATTTCTGGTCTCTCATATTCCATAAGAGGTTGGTTGTGTTCCCAAACTTTGGACTGAGATGGATGGAGCTCTTGTATGTTTTTGTGTAGAGCACGGGTGCCAAACTCACCGCCTCATGTTGCCGTCATGTGACGTTTTGCTATGTTTTCCCGCTTCGCGGAGCTGGGGTGAGCATGGACTGCGTGTGATGCAGAGGTGGGTATTCAGCAGGTTCTGACCGGTTCTGGAGAACCGGTAGTAGAAATTTTGAGTAGTTTGGAGAACTGGCAAATACCACCTCTGACTGGCCTCGCCCCCATCTATTCTCCGCCTCCCGAGTCCCAGCTGATTGGCTGGGTCTTTTTGGGTTGCCCTGCACAGGAGAACGGAGCTGGAAAGCAGGTTAGTGGGGTGGGGAGGGAATGGGGATTGTGCAGTATCCTTCCCCTGCCATGCCCACCAAGCCATGCCCATCAAGCCAAGCCAAACCACACCTACCAAGCCACGCCCACAGAACCGGTAGTAAAAAATTTTGAATCCCACTACTGGTGTGATGCATCTGATCCACGGGCCTCCAGTTTGACACCTCTGGTGTAGAGTGATTGCTACAGGGAGTCCTCAACTTACCACCACTATTGAACCCAAAACTTCTGTTGCTAAGTGAGAAATTAAGTGAGTTTTGCATCATTTTACGAGTTTTCTTACCACTTATAATTGAATCACTGCAGTTGTTAAGTTAGAAATATAGTTGTTAAATGAATCTGGCTTCCCTATTGACTTGTTAGAAGGTGATTTCAGGACTCTGGGACACCGCACCCATCATAAATATGAGTCAGTTGCCAAGCACCTGAATTTTGATCATGTGACCATGAGGATGTTGCAACGGTCATAAATGTGAAACACATTCATAAGTTACCTTTTTCAGTGCCGTTGTAATTTTGCATGGTTGCTGAACAAACTGTTGTAAGTTGAAGACTATTTGTATTGTGTTGTATGGTTTATTATATTGTGAACCACCCATTTTGGAGTTGGATGATGCCTAAACTGACTGAAATAATAATTTTTCCTCCTTCATTTCACTTTTTTCCACAATTTTCCCCCCCAAATTTTTTTCCCCTTTCATCCCCCCAACTCCAATTGCCTAAGGTCATGATAGTGAACCTATGGCATTCATGCCACATGTGGCGCACAGAGCTATTTGTGCCAGCATGCGAGCTGCATGCAAACTTACCTCCCGATGCATATGTGCGCCTCAGAGCTGATTTTCAGTCAGTTTGAGGTCTTTTTTGGCCTCCCAAAGACTTGAGGAAAGCTTCTAGAGGCTTCTGCAGGCTTTTCAGGCCGAAAACTAGCCCCATTTTGTCACTTCCTGACTTTTCGAAAAAACCAGAAGTGACAAAACAGGGCTAGTTTTCAGCCTGCAAAGCCTGCAGAAGCCTGCAGAAGTCTTCCTCAAGCCTTTGGGAGGCCGAAAAAGGCCTCAAACCAGCCAAAAATTAGCTGTGAGGTGCAGTGCAGGTAAGGGGGCAGCGTGGGTGGGTGGGGATTGCGTGTCCATGCTTGGGGGTAATGAGGGGGGGCGTGCATTGCCTTCTGGGTGCTGGCACGCGAGCATGCAAGCACGCACACAATTTTTGGCACAGGAGCCCAAAAAGGTTAGCCACCACAGGCCTAAGGGGTCCTAGTATTATTCTAGTATTATTTTTAAAAATTAAGCAAAAGCATCCTGGAGCCATTAAAGCTGAATATTTAAAACTCCCATGAACGTGGGTGTTGGTTACAAAACCTCAATGTCTCAACTAGTCAGACTGGCTAAACAACGGCTGGTGAAACTGAGCATCATGGAGATTTGGGAGGGATCCTGTTTTGAAGCACCCAAAGCCATTGCTTTTATTGGATGGTTTGAATGAGTAATGACTTCTAGTCTAGGAGGTTTTCAGGACAAACGTACACTAAAGGCATTATACTATACAGGTAGTTCTTGACTTACAAAGTTCATTTAGTGATCGTTCAGAGTTACAAAGGCACTAAAAATAGCAACAGGACCATTTTTCACACTTACAACCGTTGTCGCATTCCCATGGTCACGTGATCAAAATTCAAACACTTGGGAACTGATTCACATTTATGAGTGTCCCAGGGTCATGTGATCACTTTCTGCCACCTTCTGACAAGCAAAGTCAATGGGGAAGCCAGATTCAGTTAAACTGTGTTACTAATTCAACAACTGCAGTGATTCACTTAACAACGGTGTCAAGGAAGGTTGTAGAATGGGACAAAATTCGTTTAAGAAATGTTTCTCTTAGCAACAGAAAGTTGGGCTGAATAGAATAGAAATAGAGTAGAGTAGAATAGAATAGAATAGAATTCAATTCAATTCAATTCAATTCAGTTCTTTATTGGCTAAGTGTGATTGGACACACAAGGAATTTGTCTTGGTGCAAATGCTCTCAGTGTACATTAAAGAAAAGGTACATTCATCAAGTCAAGAATCATAAGGTACAGCACTTAATAACAGTCATAGGGGACAATAAGCAATCAAATCATACTAGGAAACAGTCAATTTAAAAAAATCGTAAGGATACAAGCAAAAAAGTTAATGAATGAAATGATTCACGTAACAATAGTGGGAAGGAAAGTCGTAAAATGACTTGGCAAACTGATGTAACCCCTTTCTCACTTAGTGTACATTTTGGGCTCCATTGTGGTCGTAACTCAAGGGCTACAGGGTGTTTAATTTTAATGATGTTTTCTATTTGGCTGATAGGAGATTTTATTGTACTGTATTGCTTTTGATGATTGTTGTTTGTCAGTGGGATTTCATACGTTACCTGGGTGGCCATATCAAATTTGCTTAATATGAATATTTCATATTCAAGTTGTAAACTATATGAAAATCATTGTGTGTCATGCCAGCTGAGTCCTGGGCTCCAATTTGCTATGTAAATTTATTGCAGTCCTTGGTGAAGCAAAATGTGGACTTTTCTGTCTAATATTTAACTTCCTTCCACCTGGAGCAATGAAAGTGTCCTGAGCAGTTGTTGCTTTCTGTTTCTCAGTGTGCGTTTGTGTCGCTGAAAATAAAAATAAAAAAGGAGTTTAAGGGTTTCTGCTGCTGCTTCTTTTACAGAGTTGGATCTTCAATGGCCGGAGAAAAAACGAGGAAGGGGTTGAAATGAATATGAATGCTATCCTAGAAGAGATTCTGATTAAAAGGTCTCAACAAAAGAAAAGGACATCGCCTTTAAATTATAAAGAGAGGCTTTTTGTGCTCACAAAATCCATGTTAGCCTACTACGAAGGTCGTCCCGAGGTAGGAAACTGAATTTCAATTATGTATTTTTGCTATTGCCTTTAGTATTTGTTTGTATAGCATTTTTATAAATCTTAGTTTGAATAACTTTGCATTTCAGAGAGATTGATAACTGTGACTGAGTGGGCTTTTGCAGGCATTTCATATATACTTGTGATGGCCAACCTATGGCAGGTGTGCCACAGGTGGCACGCAGAGCCATTTGTGCGGGCATGCAAGCCCCAGCCAAACTTACGTGCACTGCACTGCACATGCACGCACTTCCCAGCTGATTTTCAGCCTGTTTGAGGCCTTTTTTACCCTCCCAGAGGCTCGAGAGAGGCCGAAAAACGGCCCTTCCGGAAATACTGGAAGTGCCGAAACGGGCCTGTTTTTCACCCTCCAAAGGCTGCAGAGGCTTCCCTCGAACCCCTGGGAGGGTGAAAACTGCCTCCCCCAGGCTCTAGAGGCCCTCCGGAGGCTGAAAACAGGCACTTCCGGTCTTTCCGGTAGGCCCATTTTTCAGCTTCCCGAGGCTGCAGAGGCTTCCCTCGAGCCGCCAGGAGGGTGAAAAAGGCCTCAAACAGGCTGAAAATCAGCTAGGTGGTGCTCACATGTGCAGTGCAGGTAAGGGGATGGAAGGTTGCACACACATGTGCAGGAGGGGCAGGGGGCATTGCATTGTGGGTGCACATGCACGCTTTTGGCACACCACAACAAAAAGATTCACCATCACTGATATATACAGTTCCTCTTATAATATAATATACAAGAGCAGCTGTGGCTCTGCTGTGGTTAGAGTGCAGTACTGCAGGCTACTTCTGCTGACTGCCAGCTGCCTGCAATTTGGAAGTTCGAAACTTAACCAGCTTCAGGTTGACTCAGCTTTCCATCCTTCTGAGGTGGGTAAAATGATGACCCAGATTATTGGGGGGAATATGCTGACTCTGTAAACTGCTTAGAGAGGTCTATGAAGTGTGTGTAAGTAAGTCTAAGTGCTATTGCTAAGTGTTATTGCTATATTATTGATTGCTTGTATGAACCATGCCACTTACAGATTCTTGGAAATCAAATTTTATTCTCTCTAAGCCTGAAGAGCTTCTTAATCTGCTGTAGGAGAGTTGTTCAAAACCATGGCCTGATGGAAACATGAGAACGTGTAGAATCAAAAGTAGTGTCATCTTTGTTTCTCAGAAAGGCCATCTCACTAGAGGGCCACCATAACTAGACCGCAGTGGAAATCCAGACATCCATGAGATGGCAGTAAGGAGATAGAATTCTAAATTTTAATGCACATCCAGATTTTTGTAGGTCAGATATGGTAGTCCCACACGAGCACAGGATAAGAACATGCCAAAGTTGGATCTCAGTTCAGTCCAAGAAAGGGAGAGTTGGAACCCCCTCCCAAATTCCCGCTCCAAAATCTCAAATGCAGCCTTGCCTGAACAATGCTTTTGGTTGGTTGCTGAAGTATCCCGTCTACTCCTTTGTGCCTTACTTAATATGGCGGTGTATATTTGAAAACGATAGACCCATGTAATACAATGTCTCTTTTCAGTTCATTAAAGGAAACTTGAAAACTAAAGAAAAAGACTTTAGTTTAGACGATTTGCTTTGTGGGCCACACAACTTGCTCTCTTTGTTTACAGAAGAAAATTATTTTTGTGCAATCAGGGTTGGATCTCTTTTGTAGTATGTACGGCATGTATAGAAAGTCCTTTTGCATTCGTTTGGATCTGTCTATCATTTTGGAAGAAATGTTTATTGGCAGGCAGTTGTTTATTTTATTTATTTTGTTTGTCAAGCTTGTATGAGAAAACAAGTATAAGTATAAACATATAAGTATAAACAGGTATAAGTGTATATATAATAAATGAGTACGAATAAATGGATAAATGGGAACAGTAGGACAGGGACAGTAGGCACACTGGTGCACTTATGCACACCCCCTTACAGACCTCTTAGGAATGGAGTGAGGTTCACGATACAGTCTAAGGTTAAAGTTTTGTGGGGTTTGAGGATGTAACAACAGTCAGGTAGTGAGTTCCAGGCATCGACCACTCTGTTGCTGAAGTCATATTTTCTGCCATCGAGTTTGGAACAGTTTACTTTGAGCTTGTATCTATTGTTTGCTGTGTATTATTACAGTTGAAGCTGAAGTAGTCATTGACAGGTAGGACGTTGTAGCAGACAATTTTGTGTACTAAGCTTAGACCAGACTGTAATTTGCTTCATTTTGTTTTTTCTTCCTCCTTATACGCAAAACCTTTTTAATTAAAAATAATGCTCTGGGTGTTGAGGTGGGCGTGTTGCAGATAAGAAAATAGCCAGTTGGTTCAGCGCCTTATTAGAACTTAGAAATGAGAACTTGTTAGGGAGAAAACTCATTTGGTTAAATGTTAGGGAGAAGCCCTCTGCCTGTAATATTTATGCACTGAGAAAGTGCTGTGTATTTGCCTTGAGTTTCATCTTGCATCATGGCATTCCAGGATTGTGCTGAAGTGAAGTTGGTGACAAATTAAATTGGTGACTAATTAAAATCTTGTCAGGATGCCCTGGCAGTTAATATCCCAAGAAGTAACATAACTGGAATCTGAAAGTCAGGGGCCCATCTGGTTTGAACTAGGACAATAATCAAAATCAAAAGATAAAACAGTGGAGAGTTCTTGAACATAAATTTAATCTGACAGCATTTTCTGATTTAGAGACAGTGGTGAGATGCTGCTGGTGTAACAACCGGTGATCGTGCACTTTGACAAGAACAAATTGTGGACAACCCTTAAAAATATCGTTGTACCAGGCTGTATGAGTTGACCATTGAAAATAATGTGATCTGGAAGCAACATTTAGGATAGAATATTGAACAACTACCGTAAATATTTAATGTTTGGGAAAGGATCCCAGTGTTCTTCCCTTAATTTAATTTATTAATTAAATTTACATGTTGAATATAGTATGAGAAATGCCGAACTAGGAGATGTGGGAAGTAAAAATGGTGTGTTAAGAGATCAATCTCAGTTATACTGATGATAACCACTTTGATGGCTGGAAGTGAAGAATGAGAAATCTTGTGGAATGTCATTTATAGGTTTAAAAAAGAAAGAACAAAATTTAGTTGGCTATTTTTTTAAAAAAACAAAACACCAAGATTATGCCAACAGGCAATGCCGTTCCCATTCAAGTAAGTGGAGAAGAAGCTGAAATTATAATAGACTTTGTATTCTAAGGCTCAAACATTCACAGGGATGGTGAATAAAATGGAAGACTCAGAAAGTTCTAGTTAGGCAGAATTGATAGAGACCTTCAAAAGGGGAGAGGGGAGAGATTTAAAGAGGTAAAAGTTAGTGCACGGATAGGCATGTAGACCAGAGGTGGGTATTCAGCAGGTTCTGACCAGTTCTGGAGAACCAGTAGCAGATATTTTGAGTAGTTTGGAGAACCTGCAAATCCCACCTCTGACTGGCCCCTCCCCCATCTCTTCTCCGCCTCCTGAGTCCCAGCTGATCGGCTGGGTCTTCTTTGGTTGCCCTGCACAGGAGAACGGAGCTGGAAAGCAGGCTAGTGGGGTGGTGAAGGAATGGAGATTTTACAGTATCTTTCCCCTGCCACGCCCACCAAGCCACGCCCACCAAGCCACATCCACAGAACCGGTAGTAAAAAGATTTTGAATCCCACCACTGATATAGACATGGTGGAAGAAAGGGTAGTCTCAAAGAATAGAAAGATATGGGGAAGAGTAGTGAATAACGTAAATTATTTTTAGCTGTATTTCCTCTTGGTTTTTCTGATTTCATGACTTTGTTACCGGCTCTGAGTTTCTCGTAATATTCTTCATCTCAAATGGTGTATACATGATTGTATGTGTATGTACGTATGCAGGTAATCTTCAACTGATGTGCATTCATTTAATGATGGTTCAAATTTATGAAAAGTGACGTATGACTTATTCTTGAAGTTATGACCATTGCATCACCTCCAGGGTAAACATGATCATAAAAATTAGGCCTGATCACATGATAACTCACTTAATGACCGCATCGCTTAGTGACTGAAATCCTGACCCCCGCTGTGATCATCTGCACCTCTACACCTGTCTGGTTTGGTTCTGCAACCCAACAGGACAGACACAGACTTCAGAGGATAATTAGGACTGCAGAGAAAAACAATTACTACCAACCTGCCTTCCATGGAGGACCTGTATACTGCACGAGTCAAAAAGAGGACTGTGAAAATATTTACAGACCCCTCACATCCCGGACATAAAACGAGGCTATAGAGCACTGCACATCAGAACAACTAGACACAAGGACAGTTTTTTCCCGAAAGCCATCACTCTGCTAAACAACTAATTCCCTCAGCACTGTCCAACTATTTACAAAGTCTGCACCACTATTACTATTAATCTTCTCATCACCCATCCCCTCTCACTTGTGACTGTATGACTGTAACTTTGTCGCTTATATCCTTATGATTTATATTGACTGTTTCCTAGTATGATTTGATTGCTTATTGTACCCTATGACTATCATTGTCGTACTTTATGATTCTTGACGAATGAATCTTTTCTTTTATGTAGACTGAGAGCATTTGCACCAAGACAAATTTGTGTGTCCAATTTGTGTGTCCAATCACACTTGGCCAATAAAGAATTCTATTCTATTCTATCATTTGAGAGCCACCCGTATATGTTTTTTGATGTAATGGTCTTGAATTCATTTGGAGCTTATCAATAAAGTCAGTTTTCCAGATCCCATGCAACATTCAGTGGCAGGAGCATACAGAGGCAGTCCCCAACTTACGACCACAATTGAGCTCAAACATTTCTGTTGCTATGGGAAACATTTGTTAAGTGAGCTTTGCCCCATTTTATGACTTTTCCTATCACAGTTGTTAAGTGAGTCACTGCAATTGATAAGTCAGTAACACGGTTGTTAAATTCATCTGGTTTCTCCATTAACTTTGCTCGTCAGAAGATTGCGAAAAGTGATCACATGACTCCTGGACCCTGAAACTGTCACAAATATGAGTCACTTGCCAAGCATCTGAATTTTGATCATGTGACCACAGGGATGCCACCATGGTTGTAAGTGCAAAAACCTGTTGTGGTTTGCCGGCAGCCTCGTACGGAGGCAGAATCGGATAGTGGGGAAGAACGGAGACCAGTCAGGGAGTCTGGAGATGACTCGGATGAGGGTCCTGCGTCCGACGCAGAGATGGGGCCAGGACCATCTGGGAGTGGGGTGCTGACTCTGGGCCCTCTGGAGTCTAGCAGCAGCGAGGCAGAGGACCCAGGGGAGCCTGTTGCCAGTGCACAGAGCTGCCAGAAGGCAAGAGCAGCTAAGACAAAAGGAGCGACTCGGAGGGTAAGGCTGGGAGGTGATTGCCTCTCCCATAAGGTATAAAGGACAGGCCAAAGTGATGATACTTTTGCAGGAAGCAAAGTCATTTGTTTGGTTCAGACTCATTCTTGAAGCTCTTTGTACTTTGGTTGGTTTTTGTTCTAGTTTATTTGACACTTCTGTTATTGGTAGCACTTCACAACAAACTAAGATGGGTGCTTATCTCAAGGAACTATTTGAGATTCATTACCAGTTGGGAATAAAAATAATTCCCAGTGTTGCAATAAAACAAGACTTGTTTTTAAAATAAGCATGTGCGTAATTATGGTCTTGGAAGCCTTGGTCAGAACAAAATCGGTCATAAGTCACTTTTTCAGTAATGTCATTAAATGAATGGTTGTAAGTCATGAACTACCTGTATTAGACATTAGGGTAGGGTGTAGCTCAGCTACACATTCAAGAGATTAAATCTGTGCCTGTGTGAACAGAAAGTGCCATGTATCGAACACAATTTCTTTTAAATATTTTTTTTATTTTATCTCCAAAGTTAAAATAAGATATTTGAAATACATCTTTCAGCATTCAATCAGGGAGGGCATTTTATGATGAATGTTAAAGTTAATGATAATTTGTTATTTATTTTATTTGGTAGTTTATTATGTCTTCTTCTAACAGATAATCAGAGTTGGAAGGGACCTTGTAGGTCATCTAGTCCCACCCCCTGCCCAAGCAGGAGACCCTACACCATTTCTGACAGATGGGAGTCCAATCTCTTCTTGAAAGTCTCAAGTGATGGCGCTTCCACAACTTTTTTATTCTGTATTTTAAAAGCAACAATTTCTTAAAGCCTGTAGAAACTTCTCAGTGGATTATACAGTATCTACAAAGAACAATTTATATCGTAAGATTGAATCTGAGCATCACTAATCACAGAACGTTGCTAATTAAAAAGAAACGCCTTTACTGTCGTTGTAGGTAGGAAAGAGAAAGGACAGGTCATAATTACATGCAGCAACCATTCCCATAGTTTTTGCAAGTGGAGCATTTCATGAGAGAAATCGAATAGCCCCAAAATGGCTGGTAATTAAAAACTCGGATTGAAAGAATCTGAAACCAATATTAAAAATGGAAAGTTGTTTCTCTGGTATTCTTTAATAATAACTCTGAGAGTTTTGTTGTGTGCACAATAAAAAAGCTTTGTTATCCCTTTAATTTCAGGAACTGCAGACTATGTTTTTTCATGCATATTTTTAACCTTATCTAGATTAACAACATCCTGGCTTTTCTTCCTGATGTTGGGCAGTAAAGCATGAACATGCAATACACAGTTTTTGTGAGTGTTTCTATCTGTGATACTTCTAGGGCGTAGTTTTCCCTGGTTCATCAGATCATTTTGTGGATTGGTTGCTGTCTAAAGAACTGAAAGCATAATCTCTTAGGAATATGGCTACGTTCTCTATAAGAATATGTCTTACTCTGAAGGGATATAAATGTGCTTTTCAATGCTTTTTAAGAGTAACCAGAAATAATATAGAAAGGTAACCAGATTTGGAGATGGCATCCAATATTTCAGGGTAGCCTTACAAAAAACAGATAATGAAAAATTTCCAAAGGATCTTCCCCAATGAAGCACACATGTCTTTGAAAGGCAGATGTGATTTAGGGTCAGAACTGTAAAAATTGGAACAAAGAAATAATTTTATAAGTATGCTGTTGAAGTCTGAACTGGCCCGAAAGGAAAATTAAAGATAGCTAAATGAAACTTTTGACGCAGGAGATGGCTGCTATGAACAAAGGAAAATTCCCATTGGTGATCACAAGATAAGGAATGTAAATAAAATTCTCAGAATTACTGCTCTCATATAAATCTGTGGTAATCAGTGGGCAAAGTTTATTGTGCACCTGGGAACAAGGACAGAAAGAGGCAATAAAGAGGATTTTTCATCTAGGATTAATTGCTGTGCATTTGGGAATAGATAAACCCTTCCACAATGACTAAGCTGAAAATAACCTGTTCGATATCAGGTTCCACACCGTGGTACCTTGGCACCCAACTGTTTTGAAACTCATTGAATTTGGTACTCAACACATTTTGATGTGGAAAATTTTGTCTTGGCACTTTTCACTTGTTTGGTCACGCACAAGCTAGAACTTGTAGGTGTTGGCTTGTGACTCACTACGGGAAAAATTTGTTTGGTACTCATCATTTTTTTTTACTCATCACACTTCCTGGAATCAATTGATGAGGAGTACTGATTTTTAATTGCCATGATAATGATTTAGAGTAGAGTAGAATAGAATAGAATAGAATAGAATAGAATAGAATAGAATAGAATAGAATAGAATAGAATAATGAAATGAAGAATAGAATGGAATGGAATGGAATGGAATGGAATGGAATGGAATGGAATGGAATAGAATAGAATAGAATAGAATAGAATAGAATAGAATAGAATAGAATAGAATAGAATAGAATTCTTTATTGGCCAAGTGTGATTGGACACTCAAGGAATTTGTCTTGGTGCAAATGCTCTCAGTGTTAGGCATAGAAAGGGTGATTGGAAGGAAATAGCTAACATTTTTCTCCTTGGAAACGAAGCCACTTGAAATTTCTGTTGGGTATAAATACAAGTAGCTCTACTTCAGAAAAAAAAAAGGATCACTCTTTGAAAAAAATGCTGGACATTTCTATGCTTGAATTGTGCATCAGAAAAGTAGTAAAATTTAAATCTCTAAGTCTCTGGGACCATTTTCAAGGAAAAAAACAATGACCTTGGGGCACTTCAGCTTTATTTGAACAATTGTGCCCTCTTCTGGCCTACTCTGTGTAGGATTGCAACTTGCCAGGTTTTCTAACTCTGCAAATTGTTTGAAATTCCTCATTTTAAAAACTGTTCCATCTTTGTCCTGTTGCAGAAAAAGTACAGAAAAGGATCGGTTGACATTTCCAAAATCAAATGCGTTGAGACAGTAAAGAATGAGGATATTGTTATACCTTGTCAAAATAAATATCCATTTCAGGTAAGCTGTGAAATCTGATTTGCTGCATTTCAACCAACATGGAAATATTTGTCTAGCTAAGCAGACACCCTGCCACCCTTAACCTGATCCACTCTGAGAGCAGAGGTGGTATTCAGAAGGTTCTGAGCGGTTCTGGAGAACCAGTAGTGGAAATTTTGAGTAGTTTGGAGAACCGGAAAATACCACCTCTGATTGGAGATTTTACAGTATCCTTCCCCTGCCATGCCCACCAAGCCACGCCCACAGAACCGATAGTAAAAAAATTGAATCTTACTACTGTCTGAGAGGCTTACATGACGGCTAAATTTCCCGCTGTTAGCCAAGTTAACCACTTGGAAGAGCAAACATATATTTCCTTTTGGCAAGAACATAAATGATTTTATTTGGAAAATCGCTAAAGCAGACACTGTGGGTATGACCTGTGGGCAGGTTTGATTACTTTCTTGTGCTTTTTCTCTCTATTTCCATGCAATTTTTCCTCCCCCCACTTTCTTCCTTTTATTGCTATTGATTGGCATGAACTAAAACTGCATGAGCAGTTCCAGATGGTCACTCAAAAGTGTCTGAAAATGTGTTAAGACTTTCCTCTTCCTGTTACGACTGTTGATAACACTCTGTGGCTTTGACTCTTAAGTTGTGAGCTCTAAGAAGCAGTGTACATTTAGATGAAAGTAAAGCTTATTTTGAGTTCAACCATGCAATTTTCATTTGAACAGAAGTGGTTTTTCATTGCCTTCTTTGGAGAACATTTTTGAAGTTCTCTTTTCAGCCTAGCCTACATCATTGGTAGCCTCATATAGTCTTGCATCCAATTCCTAACCAGACTGGATCTTGCATTGCTTCCAGATCCAGTCTAAGGTGAGGCAGAAGTTGTGATTTGAGGAAGCACAAAGTCTATATACAAGTAGGAATATGCAAATCTGATATAAAAAATAGACTTCTGGCAAGCACTGAACAAGCCATGGCTATTTTTCTAGAGCTAAGAAAGTAACTGGCATTCATTCAGCTGGATTGGTGCCTATGGTTGATTTTTTTCCTAGATTCCAAATATTGAAAGCAGATATTGGCTTTATTTAAACGTTGCATAAGGTAGCTTTCAAGAAGCAACAAAAAGAAGTATACATAGATAGTAATAATTGTTTATTTAGTTACGTTATTTGTACTTTGGTTGTAAAACCCAACTTTCCACCCTGCAAACTCTCAAGGAAGCTAACATTTAAAATGTGTGTTTAAAGAAAACCAATATTTAAAAAAATAGCTAAAAATAGCTTCATTTGTATAAGCCCCCATTCAGTCCATTGCTTATATCCTGTATTAATTTAGCAATTATTGAGGAATAATTAATTGTAATAACTGAGGAACATAATAACTGCAGAGGCAAACTGTGTGCAATTGTAATATTCTGTTTTTCTTTCTTGCAGGTTGTCTACGATAATAGCACCCTTTATATTTTTGCCCCCACTGCTCATAGTAGGGATCAGTGGGTAAGAAACTTAAAAGAAGGTAATTGCAGTTCTTGAAAACATACGTCTCTTTAAGTGAAGAATGTGAAGGAAATTTAACAAACAATTCTTCCCCTCTGTTTGCCTATTTATTTATTAGTTTAATTTTTTTTAGTCTTAGTTTTTAGGAAACAATTCCTTGCCATCTTTACTATTCATTTTTGTCTAGTGTTTTCTTTCTTTTTCTTTTTTAATGTTTTTATTTTTGACTATCCAAAAGTCGTTGGAAGTTAGGCAGCGTATAAATAAAATAAACAGCATCTGCCTATTTGAGATCCTTGGGAAGGACAAAAATGCCAAATCTGGTCTGGGTTACTGTGCAACAAACATTATTATAGATGATCACACAATCACCAGATGTTTAGATTAGATTTGGCACTTTTGTCTACCTATCAAGTTCATACCAATGATCTAAGAAAGGCACATGTTATTGTTTAATAATATTAAGGGTATTGTTGCAGGACGTAAGTTTATTATTATTATTTCCTTATTGCTTCAGATGAAAAAGTTATACCTTGGAGGGAGAAACAAAGAAAGAACCATCAGAAGGGATTCAATTTTTTATTTTTGGGGGGCCACAAATTCTTATGTGGGAAATGTAGTATTTCTCTGGTCATAGAAACAATGAATGCTAGCTGGAGTACAGATAGTTGTTAGTTTCCCTAAAAAAAAAATCTGTAATGCTGTCAGTTGGAGAATACAGCTGTCTATGATTTACCTTATAACTATGATCTTTCTTAGTTTAAAAAAAAAGCATTTTAAGCCTCCCACATGTTATGCGCATATAATTTTTGCAGAAGATATTTCTATTTCTGTTTCTGTCTGTCTGTCTGTCTATCTATCTATCTATCTATCTATCTATCTATCTATCTATCTATCTATCTATCTATCTATCTATC